GGGGAGCGGGAGCCCAGCCCCAGGCCGCGCGGCGGGGACGCCCTGCTCCCTCCCCGACCCCCGCAGGTTCTGCCTCCCAGCCCCACCTCCGCATCCCCTGTCCTTGAGTCTGTGGGCCAGCCTCGTTCCAGCCTCAGTCTCCCCTGAGGTGACAAGGAGCTAAGGCAGGATCTGGAGAGGGGCACGGCCCGGCCTACAAAGTGCCCCCCGCCAGATGTCCCGGGGAGCACTGTATGGATAGGACCGCACACGGGCAGTATCTGCCAGGGGTCCCCCCATTCATGATCCTGGGGTCGCCCTCATTCAGGGTAGGGTCCTTGTCACTGGCCCCCTTCAGCCCCCGCTGGGGATTTCCTGGCTCCTGGCAGAGGTGCTGAGAGGGGGGTCTCATGCTTGTCCTACCCAAGATCTCCCGGGTGACCTTGGGCAAGACCCTGCCCCTCTCCAGGCCTTTGTTTCCCCTTCTGAGCAACTTTTGGGGTTCCCTCAAAGAACGGTCGCTGGCCCACCTCTGTTTCCCTGTCAGGCTGTAGCCCCCAGACATCCTGGGTTCTACACCAGTTGTCATGTGACCTTGGGCCTCCCAGTCTCTGAGCTTCGGAGGTGGGTGTCCTGGGTGCCCCGGGTGCCCCCGCTCCCTCTGCCCCTCCCTAGCTCTCCGGGAGCCACGCGGAAGGCGATTCCTGGCGTGGAGGCTGGAAGGGTGCCTCCTGTCACTGTGCCTTGGAAATCCCCCATCGGGACATTTCGGGAGAAGGCCTCCGTCCACGTTGCCGAGAGGGGGTGGCGGGGAGAACCGGAACCCTGGCGTTGCCTGGGAACTTGGGCCTGGCTTTCCCTGGGAGCTCGGCGGCTCTTGGGTGGAAACGTAAAATCGCAAAAGTCAGAGGCCGCTGGTGCAAGGGACGTGGAGATGGGGGGCTGGAGGCGGCGGGCAGAGGACCAGAGCGCTCCCGCTGGGCGGGGAGGGGGCTGCCGACGGCAGGGTGTATAACCCCGTCCCCCATTGCTCTCCCAGGCGCCCCTACCCTAGAGGGGAGCCCCAAACCCCCTCTTGGGCTCCCCTAATTGTTAGCCTCAGCATAATCCCCAAAGGTCTTGCAGGCCCAATGTCCTGGGGGACCCAAGAAGAGCTGACCGCCCCTGCAGGACGCTCGCCCCGGCTGCCCGGCTCAGTCCCCTGACCCACCCCACGCCTCCCCTCCATCCTCATCTCCGTCTCTATCTCGGCCCCTCCCCGTCTGTCACCTGTGTCACTCCATCTGTCTCCCCGTCTCTGTTTCTCACCATCTCTTTTCCTCTCCTTGTCTCTGTGTGTGTCTCTCCCTCCTTAACCCCACCGTCTGTCCCTGTGTCTCTCTGTCTCTGGGTCTCTATCTCCCGCCCCTTGACCCGACTGTTTTTACGACCCGACTCCAGCCTCAAATAGCTCCCTTTTAGCCGATGGGACCCCGATTTTTCTAAGAGCCGAGACCTAGAGGGTGTGGCTCCCATGCCAACCCACCCGGCCCTGCCCGCTGTTTGGGGGACGGGGGCGGGGGCGGGAGCGGGCG